AGATATCCTTTAAGCCACCGAATTGGAGGTTAGGACATTCATTTCGGTGTCAGCTGACATCCCAAGCTGGATCATAAATGACAAGCAGTGGAGTTCAATTGCACTGTATGACAATAAAGCAGGAAACACTGATTGCCAAACTACTGGCAGCTGAAAGCAGACTTTACAGTAATGCTAACTGAGCAGATCTGACAGCCGATGGGACGTCACAAATACCCACGCTGCCTTCAACCGAGTAGAGGGGCGTTGATTTTAAGAACATGCTGTGCACCAGAGCACAGAAGAGCCAGGATTATGCACAGCCCTTCACTGCATGGTTTAAAATACTTCTTGAATCTTGATATAAAAAGAAAACCACACTGTAACTTCGTGCTATGGGCTCCTTGAAAACAGCTGCTGCACAGCACAAGGACAACTTCATCTCTTTGTGAATATTCTCTTCCTCTCTTTCTGAGGTTTATACCCCATCTCTGAGTGTAAATCCAGTCCTTTGCAGAAGCTCCTGCGATTGCATAGTCAGGAACACTTGATTCCTGCAGGAAAACAAAACAACCCACAAAATCTCCCCCAAAATACCCCCTCTCAAACAAACAAAAAATAATCCAAAATAAGCCATGCAAACCCCAAATGAAACATTCCGAATGATCTGGGAATAGATTCTACTGTGAATCATGTTTGAATTAGAATCATAGATTCTAATAGTGGACTAGTGTTTGTGCTGCTACTCATCAGTTTACAATCCCTTGTTTAATATGCATAATATCTGAATTGATAAAGTGCTTTAAGTTGTTTGAAACATGAAATGATCCTTGCAAACCCCCTCACTTCCCCCACGCTTGGCTGTTAAATACTGTTACTGTCCCCAGTCTCTCTCTGGTTATAGAATAACAAGTATGTCAAACATGATGCTTAGCTTTGTTCCTCAGGTATGAGCAGAGATAACAAAAGCTACCTGTAAAACTGATGTTAGGTATCCACAAATAAATCTCTTTATAGGTACATGCGTGGTTAAAGCTTACCCCTGGCACAGGTAAATGTGAATTGCTTATTTCTGTTGGGTGCACGACCTAGCCATGGTCTGTGTCAGCCCTCACTAAGCACAGCAAAGCCCTGCAAACTAGCAGGAGCAAAGGGGGATGGCCACGGCTACAGTCCCTGTATGCTTGTGTGTATCCCCGGTGTTTCCAGTTGTGAGGGCAAATGGTCTTTTAAAGAGGAAATAAAAGCAGTGTAAGAACAGCAGCTTGTAGGTGCTGCGGTGCTGGAACTCCACAGCCTACCGTGCTGACTTGCTTTCAAGTCTGACCAGTTCAGGGCAAGAGAGCACAAACGTGATTTGAAGGGAAGATCAAGTACTGTGTGTGCAATGTGTTTGAGCAACCATGAGGATATCTAGTAAAACCTTTCACGTCCATCATGAAGATGTAGGAGACATGTCTTAGCGTCCTTAGAGAGAAGTGGTGGCAGCAAGCCAGGTTTGCTCATGCTCTGTGGCCCCTTACACACACATCAGAGGATCCTTTTGCTTTAGAGCATGACTTGCGTTTGTGTCTCTAAAATGGTCTATGTGCTATTTGTACCTGGCAATCTTTTGTTTCAAGGCATCGGCTGCCATCCATTCCGACGGGGTGTTTTGCATGAAAAGCAGATGGCTGATGAACTGTGTCAGTGCAGTGTCACCAGTTACTTTTGGAGACCGGACTGTTGTCCCCAGAAATCCTTAATGGCTTGCAAGAGGTTGCAGAACAGCGTAACTGTACTGGAATGGTCACTGCAGACATTATAATCATTGGCTGAAAGTGTGTTTAGCTTTCACATCGGTCTGTTTAGCTTGCTCCTGCCACAACTTGAGCATAATCTTCTCAGCTGTTTTTATAAAGAGTCAACCTTCTTCTCATGTCTTTATTTTAGGACAGTCCCGCTGGCACTCCCCTTCATCTTCCCTTCCTCCTTTTCTCAACTACCATCAACCTGGGGTTTAGTGCACGTGCAATATTCTCCCTGAGACAACAACCAGGTCAGAAGAGAAGCAACTCTGAATACTCAGTTTCTGTCAACTAATGCATAACTAGAGAAAATAATCTGGTAACTAAAGCTCATTTAGAATTTGGCTTCCAGGCTAGGGCTCGGGGAAGGAATTTCTGGATGCCTTCTGTTCTCTTTTGAATCCGTGTCAATGTTGGTGGTGACATTTCCATGGAGTCATATTTGTTTTCTTCAAGAATATGTTTCTTCCCTGTTTTACTTTCAATCTGTAACGTGCTATGTTTTCCTCTTTCGGAAATGGAGAAAAAAGAGGTAACGTATTTCACTCCAAACATCCCTCATGTACAGAGCCCAAGTGTGTTTGCCTCAATGTCAGTATTTAAGGGAAGGAACAAGACACAGCACAACCCAAGAATCTAAACACAAGGCATCCAGCCAGCAACCCCAGAGTCTTTGGATAGGCCCTGGGAGCGCCAGGTTTTCTGTTCCATGCTGGGAGCAGGAAGAGTGCAGTTTTCCCCTAGAACAATGACAGTTTGGTTGTACCCACCTACTAAAAACATAAGATAAGAGCTCCTCAATAACAAAATGCTGGTTTACTTCAGCTCCACCGTGCTTTTGGAGAGAACTAGCAGTTATCTGAGATAATCTCTCAAAGGAAAAGTCAATCTAGCTCATAACAAAGCTTCCTTTAAGAGAATTCAAGCCAGGAACTCTTTTTTCTGTGTTCTGTTCCCTGTGGTTGGGATGCAACATTTTGTTGAAGGCTTTGGTCAGAGTTAGGCTGTTCCCGAGTAAAGTGGGGAAAGTCTTCCCACATCCTTGAAAATGCGATTCCTCCGCATCAGATGGCCTGGAGCAGTTCAGTTTTTCAGAGCAGCCTCTTGTGAAGGAATCTACTGTTACCCTCAGAGCACTTCCACGGGCGGTTACAAGTCTGAACAGGCAAGTGCTTTTCTTGAGCAGTCGTCACTGCCACGCCGGCGATGGGTGGAAGAAAATCCCTGGGACTCCCCGCTGTTCAAAGGCAGACTCGCAAAGTTTATGAACCCCCGGTTTGAAAGAGCACCAAATCCCTGCCCTGGGCAGGGCTCTCGGGGAGGAACCAAGCAGCCAGCGATGTTTTCATCAAGGTGTAAAAGTAGAGCAGGATGGGCTACGTTCTGCTTTGCTCTGAACAGCAGCAGCATGAGCACCCGGCACCGTTTGAGCCTTGGCTGTGTTTACGAGCGGCCCAGGAGCCTGCCTGGCTGCCAGGCCAGCGGGCTATTCAGGCACGGGATGTGGTGCATGAATGGATCCATTCATTGCCCTTCTCTTCTTATGCTTCTCCAAGCCTTGGGGCACTGAGCCTGTGCTGTTGCCCCTTCCCCAGAGCGGAGGAAGAGGCTGCCTCATTCCCCTCTACTCTAGTTCCCTTGCAAAACAAGATTGGGTGCAGAGAGCACTTATCTGAACTAAGCTACCATTAGCCATAATAAAGTCCAGTGTATCTCAAACACACCAAGCTATCTGCAACTGTGTGCAGAAAGTTCTGCTAAGTGAGTCCTCGCTTCAGAGAGTCCTCGCATCAGATTTGCTTCAGCCGGGTCATTTCCAAGGACCTGAGCATGAACATGCACAGAGAGTCTTTCTCAAGTAGTCTTAACCTTTTATCTGCTCTTTAACCTCGGGCATAATCTAGGTTAAAAGCCACAGAAACCCCCTGTTCTGAACTCGCATGTGACCACATCAAGGCACCCCACTTGTGCTGCAGATTGTTAAGCCTGTTGGACAGGGGTTGTAATGGCTGGCGTCCCCACGGGGCCTCGCAGTGTCACGACAGTAGTCTTCTCCCTGCTGTTTTCCGATGATTTCTACTGACTTCCTGCATAAAGCAGACTGTTCCCCCCACCCGTGTTTCCTGACAGCAGGAACCACCATTGCTGTTCAGCTGCGTTCCCCACCGGAATAGCTGCTGCAATGTTCCGACATCCGACTTGGGAGAAGGTGTCAGAGAGTGAGCGTGGTGCTGCGGCAGGCCGGGAGCTGCTGTCGGCTTCACCACAGGCTGTAGAGTACTCCTCCTGGAGCTTCTGCTTTGTACCCGCTCTGTGGGCAGACCCAGAGCTCTGTGTGTGTGTGTGTTCAGGTGACAGATGTGTTCATGGTGCAGTGCGTGCTGTTATGTTTTGCCAGCAGACTTCCGCACGCTTTGCTCCTGCAAACTACCTTTTAACAGTGGTTCCAGTGCGCAGAATACCTTTTTCCATGGCAAAATCTCGAGTGCATATTTTACTGCTGAAAGGAAGGTGCTTAGAATGAGAAAACAGGATATAAAGTCAAATTCACTGTATCAGGAAAAGAGAGGAAAACACCCCATTACTGATAGTAATAACTTAGAGGCTGAACCAGCTCCATTTCCTCAACTGACAGTTTGCTCCCTATGGATGGTGTAAACCTGCTAAGGATTTTTGCACGTGTGCTTTGAAGAAAGTACTCCTTAAATCTGCTTTAAATTCTTCAAGTACCGTGCCTGTAGCATGACACGTGTCACCTTTTTATGTACCTTCAGAAGTGAGCAACAGCTTCCAAAAGATGCACTACAGATTATAAGGACAGCTTTGACAAGCCCAGAGGAAAACCGATACTGGTTTAATGCTTTGGGGGTTTTGGAAGACTGTAGAGTACAAACTGTCACGAAGCCAACTTAATATAACTGTTTCCTTTATACTCTAAGGATTCACTAGGGACTTCTCTGCTAGCATGCAGGAAATAAAGTCTGTTGTGCTAGAACAAGACTTTGTTTCTTACAATTTAGAAAACTACACAAAGTTTCCTTACAGGAAATGTTACATTCATACAAATTCCCATATTTATTTGTAGACAAAAATTGCCATTCACATAGCAGGAAAACTAGATGAAAACAGAGACAGCATAGACTTGAGGGCATTATGGGGTATTGGTGAACAGACCTACA